CAATAAAACATTTTCAATATCTCTTTTGTATGCAATAGTAAGAATGCTAAAGTCTGGTAAGTGAAAAGTCCTTACTGGTGATCTTCTCTTAATACTACTGTATCCATTAACATCTGCCTTTCAATAAGTAAATACCTTCAGATAACTGGCACCAAATAAAATTTAAGTGAGACTATTCCCCAGTTATTTCCCATAAGTATACAGACCTTTCTCCTAAAAAATGTAGTTGGTTTTCCATTCATTTTCCCTTGTCACTGGAGAGAATTAGTAGCCAAGAAAAACCTGATTAACATTCCATGACATTGTGGGTATTCAGACATGTAAAATATTTTCTTTACCCCTCCTTTTTCATATTTCAATTTTCTTTTCTAGGACTATCCTTTTCTGCCCTTTGTTCATCAAGTATTTGCCACAGCATGTCCAGCCTCAATTTAATACTTTTTGTTAGTCCTTTTATCATCATGTTGTAGACTATAGAATCATTTGGTGTTCTTGTTTCCTCAGATATGGGGCTTCAGTCTTCAAATTCAGCCCTCTTTGAGATTCCTGATTAAGAAGACCTTGGTAGAGAAATATATTTTTTGACATAGAGTCTGAAGTAGCCCAGGCTAGGTTTGAACTTTGGCAAAGACAATTTGAAGACTTGAGATTTTTTTTTCCTTAAAGATGTATTGATGCTATAAAAGTGAATCTTTAATTAATTAACTAATTAATTAACTTCTTTTTGTGTGTTATGTGTAGTGCATGAGTAGAGATCAGAGGACAACTTATGGGAGTTGATACTCTCCTTCCTCCTTGGGTTCTGGGGATTGACTTTAGGTTTGTCAGGCTTTCATGGTAAGTGTTTTTACCCATTGAACCACCTCACTTGCCCAAAGGTAACTACTGAATAGGTATTAATTCCATATAAACATTGTGTTAGTTACTTCTCTTATTTCTGTGACAAAATAACCTGTCAAAATCAAAGAGGGAAGAAGGATTCATTGTGGCTCACAGTGTCAGGCTGTAGTCCATCACGGTAGGGAAGTCTTGGCCGCAAGTCAGCTTATGTCTGCAGACAGGAAGCAGAGAGTGATGAATGCTGGTGCTTGGCTTGCTTTCTACCTTTTCTTTAGTGTAGGATTCCAGTTCACAGAATGGTGTTGGCCAGAGGGAGGGTCTGCTCATCTCAATTAACTTAATCTAGAAAATTCTCAAATGCACTCAGAGGCTTGTTTCCCATGGTGATTCTAAATTCCATGAAGTTGATGATTACGATTAACTATCACAAATATCCATTTCCATTCTGTTGCATCCATAATCTACATATTTAAATATTTTATAAATTAAAACAAATGGAAAGGGATTTCTCTTGACCTCTTCCAGTGTGTCTGACATTTTTGATAATTTGTAAAATCTACACTTTGGGTCCTTAATTAAAATCTGTTTATATGTTTTGATTCAGAATTAGTGTTTTTTTTTTTTTTTTTTTTTTTTGTGTGTGTGTGTGTGTGTGTGATTTCTTTCTCTTTTTTGAGTATGGCTCTTCATAGAGAGGGAGTTTTAAACTATTTTCACTAACTTGATTTTTCTTTAGTCTAAACAAACATGGAAGAAGGAACTTTATGAATTTAGGAGGCAAAAAAGAATCTGCAAATGACTACTACCACCAACTCCTCCCTTGTTAAGGATGTGTATGGAAATATATTGTGCTCTAATTGTTGGGAAATCTCCATTGTTCATTAAGTCCCAGGATGAATCAAAGACCATGCCTGCCAAAAACTGGCATGAAAATTAAAGTAAAATGCAGGTTTTCAATATTGAAATTGAAATTAGGGCAATATCTTAGATAATTATTATAGCTCTAGAAAACTGCAGTATTGAGATATCATAATTTTGGACTATGTAACCACCTTGAACTACATCATTTTATTAAGAAATTAAAGAAAACCAAACTGAGCTGGGGATGTAGTTCAGTTGGTAGAGTGGTTGTCTAGTATGGAGGAAGCAATATATGAAACCCAGTGTGGTGATGTAGGCTTGTAATCCTGGCACTTTGGAGATAGAAACAAGATCAGATATTTTAGATCATTCTTGGCTACATAGTGAGTTCAAAGCCACCCTAGGCTACATGTCTTAAAAAGAAAATCATTTCTGTTGAATAATCCAGAAAGTACTAGGTGAATAATTTTGAGATGCTAATATTAAAATACAGTAATTATCTTTAAAGCATTATTTAAAAGAAGACACATATACCAAAATGTTTGCAAAGTAGAAATTAAAGTAACAAATGTCCTAAGTGATGCAATCTGGGTGCTGCAGATTATGAAAAGGGGTAACTAACTGTCCAGTTGCATAGGTTTAAGGAGCTTTTAAATTGTTACAAAGTTGGTTTGTAGAGAGTTTAGGTAAATTTCTTTGCCTCTCCCTAGTCCACCCCAGATCCTGCCACTTCATTTAAGATTGGTCTGCAAGTCTATTATATCCATTTAGTTATTGTTATACTTTATGGAAATAAATTATAGAGCAGCTTTTTTCTTTTACTAAATTCATTACTTAGGGGACAAAAAGAGTATGTCTGTTTATTAATGAAAGTATTCTTGAAGGTAGGAAATTATTGTCTTTGACTAAAATATATGAGAACAACAGGAGAAAATAGAAATCTTTAGACACCTTGAATAGACATTTCAGATACTAGAAAACATCAGGAACTTATAAACTACAAGAACAAAAATGAGAATACCACAAAAGGAACACATTACTTCGAATAGAATTGCATAGAATGTTTTTGCACATAAGTCATTTACCTCAAGTTTCTAATTTTTCATTAAATCTTCCATGTACATCTGGTCATTATGTGAATCAAAGGAGTCACTCATTTGAATGTTGATAGCCTTTGATTTCTTAAGACAATATTTGTAAACTTCCCTTTCAATGGCTTATTCTTGGAATCAGTGGCTTCCTGGATATTGTTCCTTTCAAGAGTCATCACCAATAGCACAATCTCAAGTATGAACAGGGTGTCATAAAAAAAAAAAACAACCTTCAGCATTTTATGAAGCACGAAGAATCTATCAAAAATTTTCCCCATCTACATCTCACTACCGCATATTTACAAAGTTTATATTAAGTACAGCTGGGTCTCTGTAAGTACCTAAAACATACAAGAAAAAGGATTTCCACTCCAGTAAAAGCTGTTGCTCTGCTAAAACTAAGGATCGTACCCAATTAGTCACTGGTACAAAAAGCATACCTATTCTGAAAAACGGAAACCCTTTCCGAGAGGCTAAAGGAATAAACAAAACCTGGCAGTTTTCCTAGTGTGGATTTCCGGAATCCATACTTACTGTTTGGAACCACATGATGTCGCTCTTCACCATAAAATAGATCTGACAGGAGACAGGCTAAG